ATAAATTTCCTAAATATTTAGTTGTTTGCACATATTTACAGCTTGGTATCATAACCGTTGTATAAAATCTGGAATGGCGAGTTGCTAGCATATAAGTACCCAATAGTTTAGCATGCTCACTGTTTTTTAAACTCAATAATATTAAATTACTTGTTACTAATTAGTATTTTTATTCTTAAGTTAGATAGATGACAAAACTTGGGCCAGTATCTAGAGAAATGATGGAAATTCCACAATTTATGGTTACAGTAATATCTGTAATGTAGTCACTGAGTCAACAGTTGGTAATAAATATGTGACAATCATAAATAAGCCTAATTAAGTCTCATAAATTTCCTAAATATTTAGTTGTTTGCACATATTTACAGCTTGGTATCGTAACCGTTGTATAAAATCTGGAATGGCGAGTTGCTTTGTTTACCATGATGTCAATGGTCAACAACACACTACATTGTATCTACAGTAAAAGGATTAAAGAGCGATGATATCTAGTCTGTAAACGTATATCTTGCAATATCTTATCGTTGTGTGTACTGAAGATTGCACATCCTATACGTGACAGCACACGGCCGCAGCTTTACCATCGCCTCACACCTACAACCGCACCCAACGTGTGAGCACCTCTGAAACCACACTTCCAATCTGCCCATCCCGCAAGTACCTTCCACATTACACCTGTGATTGCTGACAGGTCCCATCCCGCAAGGACCTTATATCACACCTGCGATCGACCCCATCCCGCAGGCACCTTCTACATCACACCTGCAATCTGCCCCCGCGAGTAGCTTTAAAATCACACCAGTGATTGGTCCAAACTTGTGAGCACCTTCAACATCACACCTGCAATCTGCCCATCCGTGAGCACTCCAACATCACACCTGTGACGATGTACAGCACAATGACGACGCTCGCACTGGTCGTCATGGTGATTGTGGCCACCTCACCTGCGGTACGCGGCCACGGCGACGACCACGTCGAACTCTACAACTATGCTTGCACAGACAAAGTCGCTGCCGAAGTTGCGCCGTGCGAGTGCTTCAGGTGAGTCTGACCCGATCCCCATCACTAACACGCTCTCTGCTGATGTCACAGTCTGCTTCAGGTAAGTCTGACCCGTCCCCATCACTAACACGCCTCTCTGCTGATGTCACAGTCTGCTCAGGTAAGTCTGACCGATCCCCATCACTAACGCTCTCTGCTAATGTCACACAGTCTGCTTCAGGTGAGTCTGACCGATCCCATCACTAACACGCTCTGCTAATGTCACAGTCTGCTTCAGGTAAGTCTGACCCGATCCCCATCACTAACACGCTCTCTGCTGATGTCACAGTCTGCTTCAGGTAAGTCTGACCCGATCCCCATCACTAACACGCTCTCTGCTGATGTCACAGTCTGCTTCAGGTAAGTCTGACCCGATCCCTCACCTAACGCTCTCTGCTAATGTCACACAGTCTGCTTCAGGTGGGTCTGACCCGATCCCGCACTCACTAACACGCTCTGCTAATGTCACAGTCTGCTTCAGGTAAGTCTGACCCGATCCCCATCACTAACGCTCTCTGCTGATGTCACAGTCTTCTTCAGGTAAGTCTTGACCCGTTCCCCATCACTAACATGCTCTCTGCTGCTATCATGAGCACATGTATACACGCAAACAACAATAGCAAACAAAGCTAGAAAATCTCGGTTCGCACGAATCCTGCCGCGGGCTGGGCAGCCATTGCATCTTCCCACACGGCATGCCTCAGCCTCAGCCATGCCTCAGACTCAGCCACGCCTCAGCAACGCCTCACCCTCAGCCACGCCTCAGCAACGTCTCACCCTCAGCCACGCCTCAGATTGTCGCCTCTCGTGCTTGCAGGCAAGTCGAGACCGGCAATGCCACGATGAGGATCCAGGCGCACTGCGGCGTCGACATCGCCGCCACCGACCTCTGGCCCGCGATGACCCGGCTCGCACGCCTCAACCGCGACTACGCCGTCAACTACGTGAAGATCAGCGTCGCAAAAGACGCTACGCTGCTCGTGCCCGACGACGCCTTCTACGGCCTCACACTCGACCAGAAGCTGCAGCTTTACAGCGACAAGGGCTACCGCAGCGGCGGCCTGCGCCTCGGCCACGCGTCGTTCCGCGGTCTCACCGTGCACCACCTGGCGGTGAACGGCTTCGGCACGTTCTCGCTGCCCGACGGCGCGCTCGGAAACGTGCGCGGCCTCGCGCTCGTCGACCTGACGATGAATCGCGTCGCGACACTGTCTCCGCTCGCCTTCCTCGGCTGCACCAACGTCACCTACCTGAGCCTCGGCTACAACGCGCTGCAAGAGCTCCCCGCGGGCGTCTTTCGCCACCTGCCCGCGCTCGAGGAACTGCAGGCAGGCAGCAACGGCATGCGGCGCGTCGCGCCCGGCGCGTTCAACGGTCTCGCGTCGCTACGCCGCCTCTACCTGTGGTACAACGAGCTCGCGCACCTCGACGTGGATGCGTTCGGCGACGCGCGCGCCCTCACGACCCTAGACCTCAGCCACAACCGCTTCCTGCGGCTCGAGCCTGACCTGCTGCGCCCCCTGGCGGAGCTGACGAGCCTCGTGCTCGACCACAACGACCTCGAGACGCTGGCGACGTGCCAGTTCGCGGGGAACGCGGGGCTGCGCATACTGGAGCTGAACAACAACCACCTGGCCGCGATGCACGTGGGAGTGTTCGCAGACGGAAAGCTACCGGCGAGCATGCTGATGATTTACCTCGCAGGTGAGGTGCAGCAAGCCTCGGTTTTATTTGTTATTTTATTTATTTATTCATTTATTTTATTGGTTTTATTTGTTGTGCAGGCTTCCCCTTTTCACGGGGCCGATCGGCCCAAGCCACGTAAAAAGCCCCGTCTCCGGTGTCCACGGAGCTTTTTTCCGGCCCTTGTCAAGTTTCGAGATTCCGAGAATCGAAAACGAAAGTCAGACCGTCTGGAGAAAATCAGCCCTGTCGAGTAAATGACGGGGCCTTTTTTAGGCCCCGTGCTTTTCTCAGATGGCGAGGCCTGGTTGAGGAGACACGTTGGTTAGACGGAATTTAGTATGATGTACCCGACTGATTAGACACCGCACATACCTGCCCGACACTTGGTTATTAACTGGTTATTTACCTGGTCATAACCTGGTGATGCCTGGTGATACCTGCTACCTGCTGATGCTGATACCAGCTTACTTAGTGATTAAGAAGCAGGATAAGAATCTACCTGTCAGGTGTGTTACTCGCTGTACCTGCTCGGCTCAAAGCAAGTCTATAATCTACATGGCAGTAGAAAAACTTTCTTAATTATGATTGAAAGCATGTTTAGAAAGCATCGGGCAGCTGGTAAGGTGGTTGGATGTACCTGACACATGCTTGTAATATATATGCCTAAGAGCAAGGGCCTTCCCTTGGCAAGTTTGGCCTGTTAGAAAGTACGTATGCTATTGTAATCTTCCGCTTTCCAGACAACCCTTTGGCTTGCGACTGCTGCATCGGGTACATACAGGAGAGTGGATCCATAGTGAAGGACAAACCGACGTGCGTGGATCCTTACACCAATGCAGTATTCCAGCTCTCAGAGAGTCCACTCACCTGCTACTCAGGGCAGTTTTGCAAGAAGAGCTGTGCCATGTGAGCAGTCATTGACACGAGGAGACACCCCTTAAGCTACCTCACCCATATAAGATGTGTGCACATGAGGGTTGTAATCTAATTCAATGAAACTTGATTATTTTTGAAGGCATGTTGATGTGCACGTTTAGCACTATAATTGAAATTTTAATTGCATATATATTAGTTTTGCAGCACTGTGCACTCAGTGTCATTATGGCAACAATGATTCATCAGTCTTCTGTTTGTAAGGAGGTAATGTTGATGACAAAATTTGTACCGCCTTTGTTTTAATCTAACCCTAATTATAGACAACATAACTAGGTCATTACAGTAGGAAACATATTGTCTCAGAATACGATAATGTAATGAAAATCATATATGCTAAGTAATTAAAGGGGGTACTATCATTAAGAATTATGAAGAAATCTATTCTCTTGCATACAACTTTAGCTTTTGACTTACCATAATCGTGATAAGAAAATTGCGGTTTGATCCCTTTCCATGCATTAGGATTTGACACAAATTTCTCATCATTTGAACCAAACTTTTGTATGCAACAGTTTTAAAGTGGGTTAAAATGGGGTTCATGTATTGACATGCAAGGTTAAATTTGTAGCAACTATTAGTAGACCGACATTCCATCAATAATACGTTATTATGTGATGTATGCGTTAATCACTTGTGCAATTTTTAAATAGTATATTCAGTACATAGTATAAGTTTAATAAATTTGAAGTAGTCTGCATTGATATTCTATTACATTCCACGTTTATCTACTAAAATCATAGTGTGATTAACTTGCTAAACTCCAAAATTAATTATTAAATATAATATTAATGTTAATGCATTCGATTTCTAGTTCTTATATGATATCCCAAAAAGTTATTTGCTGTTTTCAACTCGATATTGTTTACATGTCAGTGATAACTAATTTCATATTCAATAAACCTATCAAAATTTACATTCTGAAAAAAACTAAAAGCAGCAAATTTTTCCAACCACCCTGAATGAAGAAATTATCACCTGACCTAGCAACAAGGTACTGCCACATGTGAGGAATCAGTCCAAACCTAAGAGCCAGAGATTGAAATCTTGACTGTGACATGAATTATTACGCATGGCAATGACAGTTTCTGTGTTTCTGATGTCATCACTTGTCAGCTTGTGCACCAATTTCCAACCCATTTAAATCACCATCCTATTCATACGATGGATGGACCTATAATCTACATTATAAACCTTATTAACATGCCTGAACACTGGCTAGACAAGATGAAAACGTTCCCTGCAATCAAATCACTTGTCAGAAGAAGGAAGCATTTCATACAGACCTCCTCACTATGTCGTACGAAGCAATGCAAAACCACACTAGATATACTACGTACCTGGTTCAGGTTCCACAGTCAAATCTGCAGTTACAAAGTTTGCAGGGAACAAACCCTCTCCGCGCCAGTTCTGTCCTTTCCACCAATTAGCATCTCTGCAACAAATAGTTACTGAAATCTTAAAAACAGCAATGAGTGGCATTAGATACAACAAAGGGTACAAATTTCCCAAGTGAAGCAAAAGTGTCGAGTGCAGCCTGTTAGGTAGAGTTTATCCACCCAGGCCCCCGAAGGTTCTAGGGGCGTAGACACTCTAAAATGCATTTTATGCGATTTTCTGGCACCAAAAATATTTAATTTATTTCATGTATCATAACCCAAAATTAGAGTAAAAGACTACACTGCGCTATGTGGAATCGAATTGAATAATTTCCACTGAAATAAAACACATCAACTATGTCACAAATTATTGCTTACCAAAATTTAAAATATGAGTACATATACTATTACAAAAAAATTAGTATTCTTACCACCCTCCTATCTAAAAAAATTTCTCAATGAATTCATTCAGAGTTCAAAAATTATGGCTAGGGCTGTCGAAAATATGAAATTCTGTTTTTAAGATCTCTTAAAAATTAACCATAAGCAATTTAATGAAACACATAATTTAAATTTACATACATTTCAGGTTTTAATTTTTGCACGGCAAGGGAAATGTTGATACACAAAATAAACAATACACAAAGCCTAAAAAAAAGACGTTTGTTTCCGCTAACCCGACCGAGTCCATTGTAAACCGCCGTGTCAAAACTTTTTATTGTGATCGGGAAAAAAAACTACAAAACAAAAATCCCACCGTGATATCGATCGGTGAATGCATTGATTTGACTTTGAAGTCATTATATGGGCTGTTATAAGTATAACACAAGTATTGTTAGAATACAAAAAAAATCAAAAATATTTGATAAAAAAAAGGTTTGTCTGCCTACCGTGTCTAATTTTTTTCAGCTCGTTAGCGGAAACAAACCTTTTTTTCTTAGGCCCAAAATGAAATTCGTCGCAAGGTACAGTACTTGGATGCAAACCAGGTTGCAACGACGGTTTACATCAAATTTTGCAGGTACCGTACGTCAACAAGGAAGGAGGGAAAGGAGAGCACTTGCTGTTGGTGTCGTGGTGAAATTCAAGGCCTGGACGCGTATTCGACAAAAACACATTCTATTTTGCTGTCATACAGCGTAACAGCTGCCAGCCGCATGAGTGACACGAAACAGAGCACTGTCACCACTCACGTGTCATCTAGGATGCTAATGAGTTCGCCGGCCTTAAACGTGAGCTCGTTGTCTTCCACAGCCTCAAAGTCGTACAGCGCTCGCACCTTCCGCAATTCTCGACTATACGAGTAGTTACTGTTGCTACTGGTGGCACCACTCGATGCTCGCACTGCAGGATACAGCGATGATGTTGTCTTTGGGGAGGACTTCTCTGCCTCTTTCAATGACAACTGAATAGCTGAAAAAAGTGAAAGTAAAGTCGATATGGTAGTTGTATGTATATGACGTGACGTTGTTTCGGTCGTTGTTGTTTTTATAGTTTATATTGTTGTTGTTGTTGTTGTTATTCTTGACACCACCTACCACAGGCAAAGTCTACAGTGTCTTCACGTTTTTTATGCCATAAATTTTTTAGATAAGGTGTGCATTTAGAACATTTTAAGTGACCTAGCCGTTCGAGATGACCATGCCCCCGGCTAATTCCCCTATGATATTGCTGCTAGGATGGTTAAGCTGATAAGTTTCTTTCAGTTTTATGCTAAATTGTCCGACTATGTAATACTTCGTTGCTAAACAGCATTTTTAATCCACAAGTAGACCGCTTATTGGCTAGATCTACCTGTCAATCACGCTAGCCGTGCCACTTGTGTACCGATTGGTAAAAACTCCCACAGTATCAACCAGATAATAACATATTGAATTTTGACTGGGATAATTCAATAACTCAAGTAGAACAGGAGTCCTTAATGCTTGAACACACTGACCCTTGGCAATGTCCTCAGCCTCCTGCTGGCTTCCAACATAGTCAGGGTCAACTGTGTTTCTGCTGCTCTGCTTTGGTACCTGAGAAAGTAATGGTCTTTTTAACTGAGCCATGGATAAATATAAATGATGAACTTGTAAACTGCATTTTACAATAAACAAAGATACAAAACAACTTTTATCGCCATGTAGGCTATATATCAAGCAGGCCTCAGGAAATGGGGCTGACACTGGGTGTATAAGAAACATCTACCTGATATACAAATTCCTTACACCATATTAATATCTGTTTGGTGTTATCTACTGAAAAATGCTACTTACTGGCTCTGAAGATGAACTGAAATCATGGCCTTCTGATTTCATCGTGGTGTAGAGCAATGGTATAAGGCTAAAACAAAATTATATACATTCTAAACAAATTACTTACAGTAGTATGTGGACGACTGGAAAATTGCTTACTTGCATAACTAGGTAGGACTATTTAATTGCAAATTCAAAAACAATATATCAAAGAAATTCAAAACTACTCACTTCAAGGATGGATCTGATTTGAAGTCGCCCTCTGCCCACTTTTTTATCAGATCTTTCAGTTTTTCTCTTACTTTCTGATGTACCTGTTGGGTTTAATATTTTAGTCAATATATTTAGTTTTCATATTTTAAATCATCGAATTACAGGTAAATGATGTACAAACATAGGCCTATTTATGTTCAGCAAATCTTAATTTAGATTTACAGACAAAACAATATCTATATAAATATTATGACCAGTATATTTTTGGCTGCAATAAAATATTTGAGTTGGTATATTTGTTTAGAAATTTCAGGCCTCGAATTAAGCGACGAGAGGGGCAAGGCAATTTTTGGGGGGCATGTGAGAAATTGCCTCGAATTTTCTCTAAAGTAGATGGGCACCGAGGCAATTTTAAAAGGCATCAAGGCAACTCTCACAATTTGAGAAGGGCACCAAGGCCATTGTTATGAAAAACTTTCTCTAAATTTAGGCCCCTACTGCACTTAGCAAGCTACACACCGTACAGATCACTGGCCATTCTTGCGCGAGCTTCGTTTCCCGCGCTTTTAATCGCGCGCGGGCCGAGTCAAAGCGTGCAGCATTTAAATATTCGTGTTCTACCACGGGCATACACAGGTGCACGATTTATCGATCGTCTACTGGCAGCGGTTGGCAGCAATACCACGTTATTGTTTTTGCCGAAGGGTAGACTGGTACCGGCCTCACGCTCTGCTAGACAATGTACACGCCCTGCAACAAACAGTGCAGCCGCGAACAAGTCTAGCCAGATGCACCGACGGCAATTACAGAAAAGGGCAAGGCAGGTCACTGCTGTCGGTCGGGTTGGATTTTCAGGGGCAGTACGGCGATTGATAGGGGCACCGACAGCAATTGTCGTCGGTGCCGTTGGTTAATTCGAGCCCTGTTAGAATATATAACAATTTTTAATTTATTAACAACGTGAAGTTGCAATTCTGAAATATGCTTGGCACTATGCCATTAAAAGTATTAAAAATAACACTAGGCAGTGATATTTCTAACATATATGCATTGTCTCTATACATTTAAGTTAGGGTCAATTTGGATTGCAAGTATGAGATCAGACTCTTTGCATGTGCAGCTAACATTGACTATTCTAGTTATCAATATTTCAGGTAACTAAATTTAAAGGCTCACAATGCGCATCCAAACGCTAATTACTCCAGTACTAGACTAGCAAATACTTCGTGGCATGCATAATCACACTACCTTATGACAAAATAAACTCTAGTTCCTCCCATTTCACTGCACGTTGTCTTATAAAAGGTATTTTGAAAATACCTCCAATGTTGTTGAAATTTTCCGATGTTGTTGACATTTTCCCCAATCCCCAAGCAACCGTGCAGCGGTGCTGCGGTACAGCGGTACGGGCGCACAACTATAAAAACGTGTGACGTCACGTCACCACTTCGAGGCTATATTGTTTGGCAAACAGTCGGCGTTTGCGCCAGAATGCCAGTTTTCTCACCTCTTTCTTGTGGGTTTTAAGCAAACGCGCAGTGAAATGGAAGCAACTAGAGTTTATTTTGTCATAAGGTAGTGTGATTATGCATGACACGAAGTATTTGCTAGTCTAGTACTGGAGAAATTAGCGTTTGGATGCGCATTGTGAGCCTTTAACTCCTCTATATGTTTTTGAATTATTACTTTTCTATGATTAGTTATTTCCTTTCTGCTTGGATACCCGCCTAGCAATAATTTCCACATATCACCTACACGACTGTGGGAACACACAAACACTTGAATCTAGATGTTAGCCAATATAATCTTCTACATGTTAATGTTGATCAGGCACCCAATGATATAAGCTCACAACAAATGTGTGTAAACGTTTACATACCTTGCCTAGTAACGACTTCACTTCATTCACAAAATCTCTAGAACTGACTTCCAGGTGGAATACCTTGCCGCAGTTGTTCACACATGCATCAAGAAGCTGCAGTAACACATTTTTATTAAAGCTCATCAGATACATAGAGATGCAATGAACTATAGTTGACATGATTACAGTTTCGTTACCACTATTTATGGTGTACACTTAATTGTACTTACGGCTTTAGCTAACAGGAAACTAGGAATGAACCATAGGGCCGAAGATAAAATATTGCTTGTTTCCCCTTTACCGACCGACTCGCCAAAACGCCGCTACTCGACACATTTTATTGGCCGATTAAAACAAAACAAAAATTATTTCGTTTCGCAAAAAAAATCATATTTGTTCCGCAAAAACATATACACAAAGCAGAATATACAATATACATACACACATCTTGTTAAAACAAAATAAAAAAGATTTTTCACCTACCTACCTACTCGGTACCCTGAGAGGCGAGTATGTAAAGGGGAAACTAACAATTTTTTGAGGGTGGTCTAGTGCAAAGTGTCACTTTAGCCACATATTTCTTTATTCCATTTACTGTAAATAGCATATCCTGTAATACTCAGATGAATACTTGATGACAATATTAGTTTTCAAATTAATTTTTCATGTTTGGTATTTTCTGATTTGTGCATTTGGTTATGATCTCAATAGTAGATACTGTAAAATCCACACTATTAAAGCACTCACTCCAGAAGAAATTGGATTGAGCAGTCCAACTCCTATAATTACTGAATACCTATTTGAGGTACAATGGTATAGCCCATGAATGATGATCTGGTTACAACTTACATGCAGTTGCTACACACGAAAAATCTACAAATAAGGTCTTTAAAACACTAACAGCTCCAAGTAAACTCACGGTTAGTGCTTGCATAGCAACATGTGGGACTCTATGGTTCAGCCGCTTAACTATTGACCTTAAGCAGTCTTTTGCGCTGGAAAACAAATTAATACAGAGTGTGATAACAGCTTGATAACAGCTAGATTATCAGTTTTTCACAACACCCCATGTCAATCACTTTTTTTCTGACTGGGCACCACAATATCAAACAAAACATTAATATTAAACCCACTTTTCTTCAAATTTGTCCCCGAGACATTTCAAATCATTAGCATTGGTTCAACTGGTCCCACGTGATGTGGCTCAGTCTAAATCTATCACAATGAATCAGCTAAAAATCCATGTTTGTACTAATGGTAATGTTTCCATGGTAAGAATAATTTATTTCTCTATGGTGCAACAGTTAGGAAGTTATAAAGAAAATTATAATAATATAAAGAAAATCCACATTTACAACACCTAGGTTAGCCATGAAATAGAACGACTAAAAAGTCATGCACTAACAATCTATTCCACATATAATCATCTGCGCTTAAAACACTCACCCTGTGGGGCTTTGGCCAACTTTGTCGCAGATATCAAGGATAATTGCCCAGTCCTCAGCTGTATTTAATTCACTAGTTGCTTTTTCTAAAAAAAAAAGACAAAACATAATTTTATTGTGGCATGCTTAAAGTAATTGTTACGAGAGTTTTCCAGTGTTTCTCCACTTTCATGATACCTACAAATGATACTCATGATACTCAAGCAATAACTGCTTGAGTAACAGCAATTGTCTAGAGTAACGATAAAATGTCTTAGAACCTTCGTATTCACCAAATCCAATGAAATCATGCATGATTACAATTTTGTGCTCACTGCCTCGATTTTCCACCAATTATAGAATCTAGTCCCCAATTGTAGTCGAGTTCGATCATAGCTCGAGGAGGCTCTACGAATCTTTCACATCTTAGGAGCCTGACACCGTTCCTTTTAAAAAACTTCGCAGCTTGAAAATATATGCCATATTTCATAATTAACACGATCGTCTTTCTAGATTTGTCCTAACTTGTTACACGTTGCACGTGTATTCTCACATATGGCACACTTCTTAACTCATCGTAATTGCCTCGGTATTCATGTATAATCAGAGAATTTAGAAAGGTATAACGTTTTTGAAAGTTGGCAAACTCCACCACACTTGCATTACTGCCCATGCACGAGGACTGATAAGAGTGCAGGAATATCATGCAGAATTCAAACCAGTAATGGCCACCTTGTTCAAATTTCTCCCTTATCAAATCTCATCATTATTAAATGCTCGTTGACACGTAACTTTATACATACTTGGCGATAACGCGCACGTGATTAATAACGGCATGGGAGTAGTTAGGTTAGGTATCAGAAGTTAGGCATTGCCCATTGGTAGACATGCATCTAAACACGAGGAATTGCTCCGACCTGTGATTGGAGGATAAAAAATTTGTGACGTTTCGTTTTCATTTTGCATACCCTGCCGCATACGCTATTATGCTATGACCGGTAGGAAAGTGTACTAACTATCATATTGCGCGAACGATTTGAGTTACATTTCTATAAATTCTAGCTATTATAGAAATAATCATGTCTTAGCCTTAATCTCTGTGAATTTTGAGTCTACTGAAGCGCGATTAGTCTAATTAATTAGCAAATATGCACGCGCGGTATCGCTCATAGTCATAGGCTAATATGCGCGCGGCTATAGCCGGTAGGAAATTGTACTAACTATCATATATATGGCGCGAACGATTCGAGTTACATTCCTAGCTATTATAGACACGTCTTAGCTATGATCCCTGTGAGTCTTGAGTTTATTGAAGGGCAAATAGCTTAATTAATTAGCAAATATGTATGCGCAGTATCGCTCATACTCGAGAATGAGCGATACCGAGCGTACATATTTGCTAATTAGAATAGAAATGAAAGTGTCAATGACACTGTAGCTCACCACAAAAAGGACACAAATGAGTGAGTGAGAAGTCAGTTTTAATTGAGCAACCATCGACGTACATTATAGAAACGAAGAGTATATATATGGGAGAACTCCTATTATATACTCTTGATAATGATGTGTAATTTTTTATGTGAAAATAAATGTTTGAGATGTGAAAGTCTGAGATGTGGGCGAATGATGGCGTTACACCTAAATGATTGCCATTTAACGTTTTTATAATATTCAGATTTAGGCACTGCCGAAAAGCGGAGCTCCCGATGTGTAACGTGTAAGATTGAGAGGATACGCTTATTCCAC